GAAATTTTTATAGCAGTAAAAGTGAGAAAATTGCCCAACTGAGACCAGAAATCCCTAAGCTACTGTTTTGAAGGAATTTTATCACACTATTCTGAGAGAGATTGAATCATTGGCCATCAAGGAAAGCAGACCTAAGGTTTTCAAAGCTATAATACAAATGTTCAGAAAATAACTATAATCTAGACTTTTTTTTTTTGGTCTCAGTACTATGATCCAATGCTTTTACAACAGATGATTGTGAAAGAAATAGCCATTTAATTGGAAGTTACAGAGAGGACCTTTCAGAGCACTTCTGTAATAAAGATTCTTAAAAGGTTTTGTAAGTTTCAAGTGCGATTTCTGCTTTCAGGAAGACCTGGTCATACTTTCCCACCTAAAAGGGAACAGACAGTTCAGCTTCAAACATTTGATTTTTCAGTCTGTGTTGAACTACATCACTATGGAATGGGGTCTATATGGGTGTGTCATGCTGAAGAAGGTGGCCCCAAGAGAACTTGTTTGCCAGTAACTGTACATCTCCCCTTTGGATTAGTACTATTTAAATTCTTTAATTTTTTAAACATAATATGTACATATAGGCGCGGGCCACTATTTCCAACAAGGCCATTCTTTACTTTGTGCTTAATTTGGTAAACAATGGAGAGATGTTAAAAAATTTGGAAAATGTGATTAGAGTTCTACTTGAAAACTTTTTTAACAACAAGCACATAGCTTGGCTTCTAGCAGTTAAGGTTTTTTTTTTTTAATGTAGTCTGGTACTGATCAGTTCTGAAGGAGAGGGGTTACCTAGCTTTTTTGGTTTGGAGGTTCTTTTTTGGTTTGCAGTTGAGTTTTACTCATCCCAAAGGTCAAGGTGAAGAGAGATAAACCCTGACCTTAAAAGGCAGAAATGGAGGATCCATATAAGTATAGATGGAATTTGATTAAGGAAGGCTCCACAGTCATCTGAGCACATGTATAAAGCCATCACTTGCTACAAGTACTATCAGTATAACTTATAAAGACTGAGTTTGACTTTTTTTTTTTGTGTGTGTGCAGGTTCTCACTACACAGCCAGACTCGCAGTGATCTTCCTGATTTCTGCCTCCCTAGTGCTGGGATTACAGGCGTGCGTCACCAGGCCTGGACTCCATCCGGCTCAGCATGCCTGGGGGTGGGACAGGCCAGCAGGGCATCTGAGCCAGGGATCAAACCCTGGCACCTGTGCTTACCTAAGCAAGCACTTAGTCCTCTGAGCTATATGAGCTTGACTCTTGATTACAGAAAATGCTAGATGGTTGCTATGCTGGAGTGTACGTTCCTGTTAAAAGGCATGTAATTTTCTCCATGCTGGTAAATACATTCAGAGGAAAAAAGTAATTTACTAAATTCCTTAGAGATTACTTTAAGAGTCAATATTTATTTATCTTTTTGAGACAGAGTCTCATTATATAGTTTAGGCTGGCCTTCAATTCACTTGATAGCCCAGACTGACCTCGAGCTTGAAGCAATCCTCCTGTCTCAGCCTTCTGAGTGCTGGGATTACAGGTGTGTGACACCACACCCAGTTAAGAATCAATTTAAAAAAAGTTTAGATTGTTCATTCCCATCCTCTCTTTTGATAATCTAGACATCATTCTGCATTAATGTTTCAAGTAGAATTTTAATCACATTTTCCAAAATTTTTAACATCTCCCCATTGTTTACCAAAATAAGTACAAAGTAGGTGGTGTCGGGACTGGTGGCCCAGACCCGCAATCCCAGTACTTGAGAGACTGAGAAAGGAGGATTGTATTGAGCTTGAGGCCACTCTGAGCTATGTAAGACCTTGTCTCAAAAAAACAAAAAAAAGGACTGGCATTTAATGATTTTTCACAAAAATAACCCCAGCTTACCCTCCTGATTTATTTTCTTTTTTTTTTTATTTTTTAAAATTATTTA